CACCTACAAAAAGCTTTGCGAACAATAAATATTACATACATCTTTCAATATTACATATTGAAGGATCTTTATTGAGCTAAAGGCAGTTATTTGCATGCCAAAAAGACATGAGTAAGCATGTCCTAAATTTTTGTCTGTCTCTCTGTCTACTTGTCCGGGTTAACCTTCAGAATGGCTGAACCAATTGTAAAGAAAATTCACGAACGAATATGATAATGATCCGAAAATGGCTATACTCGCTATGTCTTATCTGAAAAGCTTGGAGATATTTTTTTCGAGAAATCGAAAATTCATGAAATAAATGCTCCTTAGTGATTATCTAAAATCTAAGTAACGCCACTTTAATTGACTCCACCTAGGCGAAGCCGGGGCGGGTTGCTAGTTAATTATATTACTTTCATAATATGCTATCAGATGTCGCCCGCTAAATTTTTGTAGAGCTAATTAGAAATAGTTTTAATAATATCAACAGAAATTTATAAAAGATTAAAAGTTACCACTCGGTATTTCATAAATTTGCAGCCGTTAGCAATAACTTAAGGAAATTATTTATTAGTTGGCAGCTGATATTAAACCCGGGGATAAATTATTCTTTCTTCGAGAGCAAGGCTAGAAATTGAATGGAATTTTAAGAAATTCAAAATTGGAAATATTCTATAATATCTTTGAAGATTTTTGACTTATGGTGTTTTCCGTTCCAATTTACAATATATTTTAATGGAGACCTGATTTTTAAAACTGATAGAAAATGTACATGAAAATTGACTAAGATACATCTAGTCAGAACTTTTAGTTACATTTTGATGGCTCCGTGGCGCAGTGACTTGTCAAGGAGACTCCTCCACTTTTCAGCAGAACATAATCCTAGGGGTAACATTTAAAAAAAAAATTATATCCGTCACCACTACTCCCAACACCACTCCTAAAGACACACCACTGTCGATAATACGACACGCAATTGAGGGAGAACTCTTCAAACTAGGTAACGTACATTATTTTACCTTATTACGCGGATATTATAGAAAACGAGACTGTACAACCAGTGCGTGTTACCAGTGATGACCTATGGAACTGAGACGTGGTCCTTCACTGCTGGCCGGATGAGGAAGCTCAAGGTAGCTCAGCGAGCTATGGAGAGGGCTATGCTCGGAGTTTCTCTGCGTGATAAACTTAGAAATGAGGATATCCGCAGTAGAACCAGAGTGACCGACATAGCCCAACGGATTAGTAAGCTGAAGTTGCAATGGGCCGGCCGGAAGAACCGACAACCGATGGGGAAGAAAGGTTCTTGAATGGCAGTATTAAAATATTAAAAAACTTTATAAATATTACTGCTATTATTATCCACAGCCTAACTACGAGTACTTAATAAATTGTAGAATCATAGCGAGAAGTAAGTGCGCTATAAATTTTTCTAATTTTGCCATTTTTAAAGTTATAGGCTATTTTACAGAATTAAAAAACCCTTTAAGAGTCGTAGATTATTTTATAGAATAAAAAACCTATAACTTTTAAATTCCCACACAGTTCATTTGTCACCCTTGTCCAAACCATAATATAGCTGTAGCATGGCTCTACCACGTATAATGGTTGTAAAGTGTTTATTATTTAATTTTACGTGAATTAATGTAACTTAATTATGCTGCTTTTTTAATTTAATTTTGTTTACTTGTACTCCTATTATACTACACTGAATCAGGATCCCCGAGGCTTTAATAAGAGAGGTGTAAAAAGAGTAATGTGGAAGCGTCTCTAATTAGGGCGTCGGAGTGGACCCGGTCCGAAGCTTAGGGTAACCCACTCTAGATAGATTTAAGACCTGGTAAGAGATGCAGGAAGTCTATGGATGTAGTAGCTCGAGACTGTGCCTTGTGGCATTCCTTGAGGTAGGCCTATGTTCAGCAGTGAACTTGTGATGGGGTGTAATAATGATGACGAAATGAAAAAAATAAAAATTACTTGTACACATGAGTTATAAAAACTTAATAAAGAAACATAAATAATAATCAGTTCCGAATTGTTACTGTTTACAGCATCTATAACTTATTCACCCGTTACTTCAACTACAGAAACTTAATGTTCCATTTATCAGTGTAAGTAAATAAGTGTATATTATCGACTTAATGGAGCGTTCCGAAATCAGCGGGACGCAGGTGCTACTGAGATTGCACGCTTTGCACAGTTTGCGAGTGTTGCTTAATGTGGAACTTTATTTCTGAACCGGTATTTTATTGTTTGTGTTCTTTTTATGAAAAGAGGCGAACAAGTATAACTTATAGTTTTGTATCATTTCTTACGAATTACATTCAGCCCGTGTTTGATTATTCCGCTTGATGTTTAGCGGTGATAAATGCGAAGATAAAAAAACGTACTGGATTAAACAATTTCTGTAAAGTGTTTTTTACAAAAATATTATAAAATTAATTATTTTTTACATAGCGAGCACATCTTATTACTAAAGGTTTACGTGGTAGAGCCATGCTACGTTACGTGGTAGAGCCATAGTATAGTTGTAGCATGAATGGGTCAGCTCGACCGGGGACGGACCACGCTCTCACAGAACACCAGCGTTAAATAGCAGCTTTACACTGCTGTGTTTCATATGGTGAGTGTAGAGAACTGGAGACCCTTTTTACTGGAAAAGTGGCAATCCACCTTAGTCCTCACAGGTGACACAGGTGACGCATCTGTATTTTTTTTCGCAAACGATGATAGATGTAGATGTTTATGGGCCACAGCAACCACTTACCATCAGGTGGACTGTGTGCTCGTTTGTCACCCTATCCTATACCAAAAAAAAAACGTAAAAAAATGTCATAACAACTAAAGGACATACACTTAGTATAATATTCTTCTGTTTCGTTAGTCTAGTAATAGTCAATAGCGTTATCACGTTGTCTCGCGTTTAAATCCTGATTCAGGTCAAAGTTTACTGGGCTTTTGTATCAAGTAGTTCTCAGCTAGGAGCCCGGAGTCAATTGTTTACCCCATAATTCGGTTTGTGTTCCCTCACGATATTTTCCTCCACCGCACCGCCGAGCACGTGGTAACAAACACTTATTAACATAATTACAAACAATAATTTTGTTGGTGGAACCGGGGTGGCTTGCGTATTGTAAAATTTACTGCAGGTGCCCTGAGTTACCGAGGCTCCTGAAATTATCATTATATAAAATAAAGTAATAACTATATTGTTAGACAAAATAAAATAATATTCAAAGAAATAATAACATCCACTTTAATACATTTATTAATAACAAGCGAGTAAGGGCGGATTTTTTATTATGTTATTAATAAGACAAAATACAACGTACTTAATCAAATTAAAAATGACAGTTGTATGTATGTAAAGTAATTGAATTATTTGACTTTTTTATTTATTAAGTTTATAATATATTTCCTTTGATAATATTTAAATCATTTAAGGTTTATTTCTTTACGAAATAATTAGGAATGTCTCCTAAATCCATCGCTTCGGAGCGCAATCTTAGGAACACTTACGTCTCCCTTCTCCAAAAAGTGTTTAGGTAAATTTATACATTAGAAGTGACGTAGTAAATGCAAAAGAAGAAAATGAGGACTAAGAAAACGTAAAAAGCTATTTAATTTTTTGCTATTATTTTATTTTTAATTATATATAATATAATTCTCATGTCTTATCAGAAGTCTATATAATGAATATCTGGCCTTTAATAAATCTATCCTAGATGATGCCTCATTAAAAAAAAAGTTATGTAGCGTCGTTTTGGTACAAGCCCTAACAACCATATAGTCTTGTATTACATACAATAAACAACCAACCCAAAAAGAGTAAAAATCTGTGGTTGTCGAATCAAGCGTTGCTACTATAGAACATCACACCCCAATGTAATTAATACAAAAAAATGGCAAACTAAAGGCGAGACATATGATCAGCAGTGGACTTTTGATAGGATGTAATTAAATGATATAAAAGTGAGCTAATAGCGCTCAAAGTAAATTTCACAATACGCGAGAAACCCAAGTTCGATACCCGCCGCCTCCAATAAAATTAATTGCAATTATATTTGTTGACAATTTACCACGTGTTTCGGTGGCGAAGAAAAATATTTCTAAGAAATAACATCAAGAGAGCATTTTCAAAACTACTTGTCGCATTTTTTTGATCAAAAATACCAAGATTTCTACATCAACGGGATTATGTCACTACCTACAAGGTGGCAATTATTTATCGATCGAAATGGCACATATATATTATAATTAAATCTAATTAAACTGAAAAAACTTCTTTAATTTGTATATAAAATACGAAGAAACATTTTCCTCGACCCTATATCGTCCCCGTAGTTGGAAAATTAAATAAGTCCAATTTTGGCGATATTGACTTTTCCCTATTTTCTAAACACCTAAAACATGCCGCATATTTGAGCCTTACAGGCGTTTTCGTATCTTATTCCATTCCAAAAATATAGCCATTTTTGTCGGACAGATGGAATAATAAATATCTTCAGACAAACACTATTTTTTTAAAGGAAAAATAAATAACCCAGTAAATAAATCAATAACTGTGGTCAATGATAAGTTGAATGTCAAATAAATTAAATAACATGAGTTGTTGAATTTTTCCTCAACTTCAAAATTCTTTCACAAAACTAACTAAGTTCTAGGAAAACTAAATAACTCTATTTATTTAATTCTGCTATTCAGAATTCTGGTATAACGTACTTAATTTATAAATACTTGATGTTATCTATTTCTTCTACAACTAGATAATGATTAATTATAAGATACTAGGCAAATAAAATTAAATAAATTAAGTTGTTTATAATTGCCATAAAACAAAATGCACCTGAGGAAAGTCATCATTAAATTTTTAAGAGAATTTGGCGCGAAATATTCTGATCGGGAACGACGACGGAGAGCGCGGGGGTGAGCGGGTGCGGTTTGATGCATCGCTCACGTGTCGTGCGTTTTATTCTAATACGTGACCTTCAATTGCGTTGACGTCAGAGTGACCAATAATGGATTCGCGAGGTAGATTTATGGTGAAAATGTGTCAAAAGGAAGAAGATTCATCTGAGGTATGTACCTACGATAATTTAGAACAATTTTTTTGCAAATTGAATTAAGAAATTAGAAATAATACGATTAAGTACGTCTTTTTTAACCGTAAGAACGTTTGAACAACATTAATTAATAATTATGTCATAACTATGTACTGATATTTATTTTATTTATTTTTTCCTCCCTTATGCGAGTTTGAATATCAATCATTTTGAGTTGTGGGAGAAGTTGATAACTCTTCTGCTTTCATTGGAATTTTGACTCTTATGTTGAAGAATTAAGGTTACTTTTAGCTTGTCACACAAATTGTATTTGTTGGGTATTTTTCGTTAAATATTCTTTTAAGAGTGAAACTACGTAGGGTACCTACGTTTAAATCTGACAAGTCTGACAGTAATGGGCGGCAGGACTCATTTGACGATTTTACCACCCCATAAAAAAGAAGGTACCTATAGCAAAAAAATAATTTTTAGTTAACAAATAGATTTTTTTTTGTTTTGTTTACTAGGCGGTTTTGTTTACTAGGTGCTCAGATAGTTCTTAGGAGTGGTCTCGTTTTAAGTACCTAACTCTTGTTGTATGGCTGACATTATTACCTAAGTGACCTATCCAACCTAGATACCTAATGTATCTAACCGTATCAAAGTTGGCGAATTCCGAGGTTTATTAAGCTTGATGACCAAACGTGTGCCTTGACTTGACTTGACAAATTTGACTGCATAAACTCTTGTCACATGATTATTATTTTACTTGTTTCCTCTTTAAATACCTACTATATTATTGCTTCTTATTGTTTTAGGACAAAAATAAGACAATCAAACAACAGGACCAAAGTACCATTATTGTCAGTCCACAAAAACATAATGTTATAACATGCCAGAAATTACCATCCGAAATGAACAAAAATGTTTGCAACGACATAAATTTTGCTGTTGATATTACGATAGAAAAAATGCCCGATGGGCTGTTGGTTACTGATGTTCCTAAGCTTCCTGAGCATGACGGATTTAAGATAATTACATGCGAATCGGCTCCAGCATCAATAATAGCTAGCGAAATGATTACTAATAACATTAACCCACCCCAATCAGCACCTATGCCTGTAAATGTCAGTCCCATGTCTTTGTGTAGCAGTAATATTAATTTAAATGAAGATGACAACATAATATTATACAACTATATAAGATCAAACGAACTTCTCAAGTGAAGTTCGATCATTATTATATGAATCGCTTCATTTGAAGATATAAATATTCACCAGGTAGTCCCCTTAACCTACAGGTGACTCTATGCACGCTTAAAAAGACATTAATTTGACTAAACTGAAGTTAACTGTGAACCGATTTACCCCTACCACCGCCGACTCGCGGACGGGGTGAGTCGCCATTCTGAGCTCATTATTTTTAGAGCGTCGAGAAAAACTTTCCGTAATAGGGCTAGCAAATCGCTGCTATGGGAGGGTGGGTAATAGATTATATCTTCAAATGAAGCGATTCATATAATAATGATCGAACTTCACTTGAGAAGTTCGTTTGATCTTATATTATATTTCATCGCTTCATTTTTCAGATATAAATATTCACCAGGTAGAATTTTAGAGCAGAAAGTTTTTCCTTGTAATAAAATAATATATATTTCTTAGAATATATTTATTAGTTATTAATCGTACATGAAACGTTATATAATCACGATAATTGGAACAATTAGTTTTTGTATTTATGAGTGCCGATACAGTCTTAACCTAAAGATTCGACGTAAAGCAAACAGATCTTGCAAATTTCCCCTCATCAACAAGGGTTCTATTGTAGAATCGCGCAAAAGTATTTGATGTAGGAGTCCATCCGGCAGCTTTACGGATGGCATCAACGCTGAGACCCGCACGGCCCGCAGCTGAGGTAGAGGCGTGGCGAGTGCTGTGTGCGCCAAACTTTGATACATCCACTCCACTCTCCGATAGCACTTGTTTAATCCATCGACTGATTGATTGTGTCGTGGCTGGTCTGTGTGGTGGCTTGTGAGTGAGGAACAGTTTACCTCTGTTTTCTGTTCTTTTACTTTCTGTGAGAGAAATATAATCTTTTAAAACGGTAGCTGGGCAAATATTCACATTTTCTAAGAAAAATGGAATCAGGAGTACAGGTTGTTCTCGGCCTGGGGCTGAAGCCTTTATTATATCGGTAATTATGATCTTTGCGTTATTGTGAGAAAATGATATATTTTCCAATTTAATTAATGATAGGGTTTGTACTCTATGTGCTGTACAGAGGGCTAACAAGATTGTTAATTTCTTAGTAATTTTTTCCAGGTTCAAGTTTGTATTGGGATGCCACTCTGCAACGTGATTTAAAACACGTTGAGGGTCCCAGGTCTGTGTATATTTGGGAACGTTTGGCCTTAATTTATAAGCTCCTTTTAGCAATCGACTTACACGTTCGTCTGAACCAATATTGTTGCCGAGAAGTAATGACAGTGCCGATCTATGAGAATTCAGACTTCCATATGTACAACCGCCATTAAACTGGTCAGTTAAAAAGGATAAAAAAGGAGATACAGATGGTTGGAACGGATTAATATTTCTATTATCACAAAACCGCCACCACGCCTTATAGGTAACATTATATTGTTTTACCGTACTATCGGAGAGTGATGCTAGCATGAGGTTGAGGGCCTCTGGTGGGCATCTTCGGGAGAAAGCTTGCTGGAGAGCCTCGCGACACCCAAGGTAAGGCTCGCGTGTAAAGGATGGTGTTCCCTAGAATGTGACCGTAAAAGATTCTTATTAGGGCCCAAGAACAGAATGTCGGATGCTAATAACCCTTGTAATAAGGGGAACCAGGGCTGTGAAGGCCAATAAGGAAAAACAAGTATTCCGTGTGCCCTGTCATCCATTATTTTCCTTAAACAATTTAATATTATGGAAAATGGGGGGAATGCGTAAAAATAACATCCGCTCCAGCTTATAGTAAAAGCGTCTACAGCCATTGCATCTGGATCCGGTCTCCAAGAAACAAAGTTTGTGCATTTGGCGTTGGTGCGGGAAGCGAATAAGTCGATATTTGGTTGGCCGAAATGTGATACAATGGTTTGAAAGCTGGTAAAGTGGAGTTCCCATTCGGTGTCGGGATTTATAATTCTAGATTCAGCGTCAGCCCAGTTTTCTTTAGTATTGACGTATGACGCGTAGATCCAAATTTTACGCTTTTCGCACCATTGCCAAATTTGCCGAGCGATCTGGTTTAAATGGGGGAATTGTATTCCGCCCATGCGATTTACATAACTGATGGCTGTAGTGTTATCTACCCGTAACAGTATCGCGCAATTGGTTTCTTTAGATGCCAAGCTTTTGAGTCCGAGAAAGATTGCCAATAGTTCCAAATAATTTATATGGTAATTACGTTCACCAACTGACCACCCTCCGTGAGCGCGTTCTTCATCGCGAACTGCGCCCCAGCCAGTTCGTGAAGCATCTGTGTAAATTTCAATTTTATAGGCGGCGTTTCGCATTGGATGTGATGTTTTTTGAATGTTATTAGTCCACCAAATAAGATCCTCAAGGATAATACTAGGTAAATTGATTTTACTCTTATAATTCTGATTTTCTAATAACGCGAGATATTTTTGACGTTCCAATAGCTTGGTGTACAACCAACCGTATTGGACAGCAGGGCACGCCGCAGTTAGATTACCAATTAATTGAGCAAATTCTTGAATAGTGCATGTAGGTAGATAAGTAAACTTCTGAACCAATTGTGTAATACTGTTACGTTTATTATCTGGGAGAGAAACGGTTAGATTCTCAGTGTTAAAGATAAAACCTAAGAATTTACAAATTTGCTTAGGTTGGAGCGAACTTTTATCGAAATTTATGATGAAACCTAGACATTGCAATAGTTTCAAAGTTTCATTTACGTTAGATCTGCAATCGTCATAAGTATTGCCGATGCAGAGAATATCATCTAGATAAACTACTGAATTAAAACCCGCACTTCTCAAATGAGTTACGGCTTCTTTCATAATCTTAGTAAATACCCTAGGAGCCACGGACAGCCCATAGGGCATTGACGTGAACTCGTAGGTCGTGGTCTGAGTGTTTCTCTTAAATTGAAATCTTAAATACTTTCTATGTTCAGCATGAATCGGAATTAGTAAGTAGGCTTCTTTCAGATCAATTGTGGCTAAGTATCCGTTTTGAGGTATTAACTTTGCCGCTGTTCGGTAATCTTCCATCTTGAAATGAAACTTTGAAACATATTTATTTAATGGTTTCAAATTTAGTATAAAACGCTTGCTGCCGTTTGTCTTTGGGGCAAGGAATATTTTGGAGACGAACTGGTCTCTACTTGGAAGACATTCTGTTACGGCACCCAAGTCAACCAGTTTTTGAATCGCAGTTGTCATTTCCTGGTGCTCTAACTTCGAAAAGGTGTTGCTAGGAACGTTTGTTTGGCAGGGTTCCTTGCAAAAGGGTATGTATAGACCATTTTGTATGCAATCTAAAATTACTGAATTGGATGATATTCTCGTCCAACAATTAAAAAAGTGCTTAATTCTGCCTGCATGTACCTGAGTTACTGGGGCGCCAGGGCACGAGGCTTGTTCGCTGCTACAGGCTTCGATGCTGGCTGCTGTTGCGTCGAGCTCAGGTATGGACGGCGGCTCTGCGTCGTCGTTTTCTTCCCACCTCGGTTGCCTCGGTTCGATGAGTACCGGGGTGGGCCGGACCAGTTTCCCGAATTAGAAGAGCGGTGGCTATTGGATTGAGAGCTGGAAGGTTTCGGATTAGTCTTTTTTATTTGGAGACCCTGTCGTTCAATTGCTCTGGCTGCCTTGATCTTTTCTGCAAGTTTGTTACCGAACAAAGTTTCGTCTCTTACGGCATCTTGAACTATGTGGAGGAAGTTCTTATCCAGGTTTGGTGTAATGAGCTTTATGCGGCTATTCGTATTTACCGTATGCAAATCCGATAGTATACGGCAGGCATTGCTAAGATGTTGGATAGCATTCTTCTTGTCATCCCCACTTAAGAGAGTATTCAGCGCTCTGTTAATGGCTGTTATCCCCGACCCTAGTTGTGTTGGTGAACTACCAGGATCGTATCCCTGTTTCTTACAGAGTCTATAACTGCTGCTGATATCTCTGCGTTTAATTTAGGCGCTTGCAGCAACCTACAGTTGTCCGGGATTAAGTACTCCTTCAAAATTTTTTCTTTTTTATCTTTTGGCAAGCCTTTGACGAGTAGAGGAAGCCACAATTTGGCTAAACTCTCGTGAATTCTTTCTCCAAACTCTGGGGTATCGCTGGTGGATTCACCGAGGGCTTCTAAAAGTTCAGGGTCCAATTCTGGTTCGGCTGATTCATCGTTCGGGTTTTGTTCCAACGAGGTTGCCTCCAAAGCCAGTGGCTCTAATGGTTTCTCTGTCCTGGTCTCTGGTCTAGACACTGGCTCCACTGCGAGCTCAGGTTCTGGCGTAAGCTCGGGCTCCGGCATGGGCTCAGGCTCTCTGATGGATGGTGTGGGACACTGTCCTGAAGAGTTCCCGAGATCCTTCGCATTATTTTTAAGGCTTAACTCAGGTTGGTCGGCATCTTCAACACTTAAAACGAATATTTTTAGGGTTAGAAAAGTGAATTACTTCAACAAACGAGGCTCACGGCCTGCCCTGATGAAGCATTTTGTTTCAACGAACGAGGCTCACGGCCTGTCCTGATGAAGGTTATTTTTTCAACAAACTAGGCTCACGGCCTGTCCTGATGAAGGTTATTTTTTCAACAAACGAGGCTCACGGCCTGTTCTGATGAAAGCTGGTAGCGTGTAAAAAACAACACGTGTTAACGAAACCTAAAAGTTACGTAATCTTGACTCATGATGAATCGTAATAATAAAAAAGTTTATATGCTTACCTTCACTATTGGAAGAATCGGATGATATGACGCGTATTCGGCGATGTCGTCCGATATCGCGTTCACGTAATTTTCTAATTTTGCGTTCGTAACACTCGATTTTTTCTTCCGCACTTCGTTTTGGCATTATGATTTTAATTATAAATACTAAAGGCAAGAATAAATTAAAAACTTATTCGGAGACGCGTGCTGTCGTCACCGTGCACGAAAAAGGAATGAGCTCAGAATGGCGACTCACCCCGTCCGCGAGTCGGCGGTGGTAGGGGTAAATCGGTTCACAGTTAACTTCAGTTTAGTCAAATTAAT